TGGAGGCCAAGGCCAGGAGCCTGATGAAGACCTTGCTGACCGATGTCTACGACCATGTGGCCACAGAGGTGGAGAATTTGAGCCAGAAGAACGAGCTGTCCGACCTCAGTGGCACAGATGTGCAAGCTGCCTTGAAGGAAGCCATGACAAAGGAGCTGGCCAAGCACTCGGCCGAGCCCACCAGCACTGAATGTGCTTAAAGAAGCATCCTCCCTTCTCCTGCAGGGAACCGAAGGGAGAAGACCAAAGACCTTAAAAAATATCCAAGAAACTTTAAGATATTTTCCTGCCCTTTTAAGCGTAAAAAAATCCTGTGGTCTATCTTTCCTAAGAAGGCACCAACTTTCATCTCCACAACTGTTATTCCCAAACAATAGGAAGGAAGTTAAAGTGATGACTGGAAAATGGCCTGCATTTTTGAAGTCAATTTCATCAGCGTCTAAGCCAGAACTTCAAGGCTAAGAAAGATGAGCCATGATTAAATGTTTGAAATAATTGTTTGTGAGGTATTTGCAAAAAGGAAAAGGAACATCATATGTACAGTATGTATATATGTCTCTCCAATAAATCAGGATTTTAGCAACTATATTCAACGAATTGGATGTGTTTTTTTTCGTGGGGATTTATCTCTGGGTTATTTTAAATAACTACCTAAAATTTTGACTTACAGTTGTATCAAAAATGAATTTTCATTGAGTTTGTCCTACTGCCTATTAAACTAGGGCTGCGACCAACTATACATAATAATAAATATCAGCAAATTAGGAGGCGGCAGCAGTAAGTATTCTTTTAAAAAAAGAGTCAGTTAATTTTACAAAAAATTAAGTGTGCTGCAGCTGCCAAAAAAGCCAACACAGTGCTAGGCTGCATTAACAGAGGGATAGAATCAAGATCACGTGAAGTGTTAAAACCACTTTACAATGCCTTGGTAAGGCCACACTTGGAATATGGCATCCAGTTTTGGTCACCACGATGTAAAAAAGATGTTGAGACTCTAGAAAGAGTACAGAGAATAGCAACAAAGATGATTAGGGGACTGGAGGCTAAAACATATAAGGAACGGTTGCTGGAATTGGATATGTCTAGTTTAACGAAGAGAAGGACGAGGGGGGACATGATAGCAGTCTTCCAATATCTCAGGGGCTGCCACAAAGAAGAGGGAGTCAAGCTATTTTCCAAGGTGCCTGAAGGCAGGACAAGAAGCAACGGATGGAAACTAATCAAGGAGAGGAGCAACCTAGAACTAAGGAGAAACTTCCTGACAGTTAAACAATTAACCAGTGGAACAACCTGCTTCCAGAAGTGGTGAATGCTCCAACACTGGAAGTTTTTAAGAAGAGACTGGACAGCCATTTGTCCGAAATGGTATAGGGTATCCTGCCGGAGCAGGGGGTTGGACTAGATGACCTCCAAGGTCCCTTCCAACTTCATCATCATCATCATCATCATCATCATCATCATCATCATCATCATCATATTATTATTATTATTATTATTATTATTATTATTATTATTATTATTATTATTATTATTATTATTATTATTATTATTATTATTATTATATGAACCCAGTTGGAACTGGAACTATTTGTCCCCAAGAAGTATAAACATCGTCCAAACGTCTGTTGGGTTGACTTGGATGTTTAGGTTTCCAATTATGGTGCAGTTACGTTTTGTAGCAGTTCCAATTATGGTGCAGTTACGTTTTGTTTGGTGGAGTTGAATAGTTCGATATTTACTCTGGCGCATTAATTTCCCGAGGAAACGTGAAAGAAGTTTCTTGCGTAAAAATTGCTTTGCAGAACGAAATCTCAGCTCGTGTGCTTATGGGACGCAATGGAAGTGTAAAGGGCGTCTTTTCGGGAGCTACTTACGCGAGTGTCAGGATGGCCGAGTGGTCTAAGGCGCCAGACTCAAGGCTTCGCTCCTTCCCTGTGCTGGGTGTTCTGGTCTCCGAATGGAGGCGTGGGTTCAAATCCCACTTCTGACACATCCTTTTTTCTTAATCTTTATTTCTCCTTACATGTCCCAAATATATATATATCCAACATATCTCTAGAAAACAAGTGGAAGATACATTTTAAACATTTTTCATTCTAGTTATTTTATGGACGCGTTCACGTTTTATTTCACTTTCAATTTCAATTTTCCTCAGCTACCGAAGCAGCATTTTGCGGGGTAGAGAATTTAAGGCCGGATGCATAGAAGAGAATACCGCTCTCCGTTCGTTCCCCTTTTCCTTTTAAGATCCTGATCTCTGAATTTTAGAAATGAAAAGCGCCAGCTCTTCCTGAATGCTTTATCATAGCGTTTCATGGAAAAGAAACTTCAGGTTATATTTCTGATTGCTGTTAAAAACGTCAATTTAAAAATTCTGAATTATTATAATATATTTCATTGGGTCTCTTGTGATTTGACGGAAGATCATTATATTTATCAATACAAAATACAGAAGGTTCCATTTGACTATGTCAAGACTAAGGAAAGGGATTTTTGTAAGTTCCCTGGTGGTCTAGTGGTTAGGATTCGGCGCTCTCACCGCCGCGGCCCGGGTTCGATTCCCGGTCAGGGAATATCTTTTCCTCCGGAATCTAATTGTTCATTAACGAGAAACCTCTTTTATTTTATTTTTAAAAAGCTATTTTCATCGTTAACATTTCTAAAAAACTGGCCAGCCACACGGCTGAGCTCATCAGCAGTGCTTAGAAGAAACAGCCCTCTCCTGTCCTTGGAAGGCCCCCACGTAGGGGCAGAAAGGAAGAGAATCATTTCAAGAAAGACCTAAGAAACGTTAAAATATTTGCTGCCTTATTATATCCAAGAAATCCTGTGATCTCCCATTTGCTAAACTTCCGGCTTCACTTCCAACAGTAGCTTAGAAAATGCAGTTTGTGGGATGTAGTAAACAACATTATGCATATTCAAACTCAACTGAACTACTTGGTGATGAAGCAAAGGTTGAACTGCAATTATTTGTGAAGTGGCTTCTGATCAGAAAAGGAACATCGTATATTATGTATTTTGTTTTTCCAATAAATCAGGATTTTAGCAGCATTAATTACTCTCGTGTATATTGCATTTAAGATAAGATAAGATAACCTTTATTGTCATTTTTATACTCTGGGCACAATGGCACACATCAAAAATGAAATTTATTGCCCGCTCTCAAAGTGAAACATATACATGACACACACCTAAACATACTATGAACAACATATGTATAGACCCACATCCCTACATATACGTAGCAAATAAATATTAAATATTGCCCATCTTGAATATGTAACGGAAGGAGGAAGCTTGAGATTTCGCAAGGTTAATGCTGTATGGAATGAAACTCTGGCTGAATCTGGATGTTCTTATTTATTTACTAGCTGTACCCAGCCACACGTTGCTGTGGCTCAGTCTGGTAAAAGTGTGTGTTGCTTTTACGTCCAACAGATGGCGCTGTTTTTCAAAAAAAGCATGTTTTTACCTGTCACAGGTGTGACATCTATATAATATAGGTATATAAAAACACGTGCATATTCGAATGCAACGTTGTGTGAAAATTTCAAAGCAATTGAAGAACTTTAGGAGATTTAAGATTTTGAACAAACGAACATTTACATTTTTATTTATATAGATTTATTCTTATTTAACATCTCTTATGCTATTTCTAGTTTAAAATCTTATGTACCATTTCCAGTTTCAAAATCTTGACGTGATCACTAGAGATTAAAATATTCTATTAAAACAATAGGATGTAAAAAATTGTGGGCAGGCAGATGGTGGTCACAAATCTAATTATGTCACACATTCAAGGTATAGCTATCGAAAGAACAAAATTATCTTCAAAAATGGAATTAAAGGTATATGAAATCTTGTAGTTCTTTTGCCTTGGTCATGAAACGTAAAGGAACATCCATACACAAGCAATGCTATCTAGGATAAACACTGGCGTCAGCTCCTGTCTCTCATTTTCAGTTCCTCATGAAGGAAGAACAAATACCTTTCTTGGAATTTTCCCATGTGAAAAATTGTTTTCTGTGGATTTTATCTCTAATTTATTTCTAAGAAGATGCTTTGTCTGTTGAATAGCTACTGAAATATAGCAGAGACCCATGGTAAAATAGCATTCAACCCAATATTAGGCTACTGCAGATTCCATTTCCAGCGAGCCAAGAAAATGGTAAACAAATTATAAAGACCCCATAAACTCAAAATATTATTTTGCGTTTAAAGATAATCAAAAGGATTTGGGGAATAAGAGCAAGATTTGAGGGTGAGGATAACGATCAGTGAAGAAGATAAAAATAAATTTTCATTGTAAAATTTAAATATGGTCAGGAGATCCTTGAACCAGAATATGGTGGCAGAGTTAAACTTCATTTCTTGAAGATTACAAAAATTAGGTCACAATCCTGTCCTGTGTAACAATGGTTTCATGGATACAATGGAGGTAGGGCTACCCAATCAGCATACTCTCTACAGGTCCCTCATTTGCATGTTATTGTCTATGAGTGACTTTGTCTGGCAAAAGCCTGGTGACATTTCAGGCAGGGGCTTCAGGAGAAAAGAACAATGGCTGCCAGACAGCAAGGCAAAAGGAAAGTCAGAGATGCAAAGAGAAAGAAAATCCAAAAGAAGCATCAGCCAGCTAAGCGGAAGCAGAAGAAACGGCAGCCTAGGAAACAAAAGAAGCATCAGGCTCGTCCTAAGCGTCGGGTCAAGCAGGCCTCCGCCACCAGGTCAGCGGACAGTGGTCCAGAGAGGGTCTGCTCCCCAAGGCTGCCTCCAAGGTCCTTCGGCAGATGCCCAAGGTGAGGATGGAGGCCAAGGCCAGGAGCCTGATGAAGACCTTGCTGACCGATGTCTACGACCATGTGGCCACAGAGGTGGAGAATTTGAGCCAGAAGAACGAGCTGTCCGACCTCAGTGGCACAGATGTGCAAGCTGCCTTGAAGGAAGCCATGACAAAGGAGCTGGCCAAACATTCGGCCGAGCCCACCAGCACTGAATGTGCTTAGAGAAGCATCCTCCCTTCTCTTGCAGGGAGCCGAAGGGAGAAGACCAAAGACCTTTAAAAATATCTTAGAGACTTTAAAATATTTTGCTGCCTTAGGAAATCCACTGAATCCTGTAACCCACCACTGCCTAAGATGCCCATCTTCAATCATCTTCATAGACAATACAAACGCCACATTTAAGGGGATGCCCTTAATGGAATCAGCTGAGCAGAGAGACCACTGCTCTGGACAAACCGACGTAGAAGATGTTGGTGACAGAGCTTCCAAGAGAGAAAGGAGTTGTAGTGTGGTTTTTCTGGTCAACAGGATTCGAGTGACTTTATTCATGTCTTCCAAATAAATCGGGCTTTTAGCAGCTTTAATTTATTGTGTTTGGTTTTTCTTCCTTAATTACTGGAAATCTATACTTCATGCTGAAAGATAAAGATGACTGCTGATTGATCATAAATAGGAGCAGGACAACTAAAATTTAATTACAAATAAAAGNGACCTCAGTGGCACAGATGTGCAAGCTGCCTTGAAGGAAGCCATGACAAAGGAGCTGGCCAAGCACTCGGCCGAGCCCACCAGCACTGAATGTGCTTAGAGAAGCATCCTCCCTTCTCCTGCAGGGAGCCGAAGGGAGAAGACCAAAGACCTTAAAAAATATCCAAGAAACTTTAAGATATTTTCCTGCCCTTTTAAGCGTAAAAAAATCCTGTGGTCTATCTTTCCTAAGAAGGCACCAACTTTCATCTCCACAACTGTTATTCCCAAACAATAGGAAGGAAGTTAAAGTGATGACTGGAAAATGGCCTGCATTTTTGAAGTCTATTTCATCAGCGTCTAAGCCAGAACTTCAAGGCTAAGAAAGATGAGCCATGATTAAATGTTTGAAATAATTGTTTGTGAGGTATTTGCAAAAAGGAAAAGGAACATCATATGTACAGTATGTATATATGTCTCTCCAATAAATCAGGATTTTAGCAACTATATTCAACGAATTGGATGTGTTTTTTTTCGTGGCGA